CCTGATTTTATTAATTTTCTGATAAACATTTTAAACAACTTTCAACATTGACTCTTGTGAGAATGGAAAGACAGGCCAATGCACAGACACCAGTCCCAGGAAACAGCTGTGACAGAGGCTGGGAACAAGAGCCCTTCTGTAGACAAGCTCACATGAGAGGAGGCAAATTTGTCTACAATAGATTTCTCAAAGTCTGCCTACAGAGATGAAGCTTGAAATGGAGAGTTTATGTGAGGCTCAGTTTCAACTGATGCAAGCGCAGTTTATATATTTTTACAACTCTGCTGTTCACTGAATCATCATCTTTGCATCATCTATAGGAAAACATTTGAATGTTTTCCTATAGATTTGAATCACAAATGCTAAACTTGGGATAAAACAAGTTTTGCGCTCTGACCCCAGGCTCTCTCCGTGTCTGTGTGCCTGTGTGTCTCATGGAGAGCAAGCTGGGGTATGTGAAAAGACAATTCCTAATGCAAGAAATTGTAAAGGGTTAATAAAGTGATGTTATTATTATTATAAAAACATTAATCAAAATTCACACTGGTAGAGAAACAAAAAGGGTCCTGCGTGTCATGCAATGTGTAGGGCTTTGCCATTCAGTGGATAAACATCACATTTTCAGGATCATCTTGACTAATTAAGACAGCAGTTGGCTCAGTCTAGTCTCTGAAAGGTCAGTTGGAATGAAAAGCTGAAGGCCCTGCAGTTCTGCTGATGCAGAGCTGTTCTTCCTGATACATCTCAGGCAGCATCATGGGGTGTGATATCATCCATGACTGAGACGGTATCCACTGCTGATGCTCCCCTGCTTCATCCTTCCTGCTAGCTGGTGGGGCAGGCTTCCACGTTGAGCTTGATCAGATGGGAGAGTTGCTCCAGAACAGCAGAGCAGGGTGATCGCCACTAGGGCAGGAAATGCCAACAGAGGAACAGGGCCTGTTGTCTTCCTTCGCTGGACACTAGCAGGGGAGCCTGTGTAGCTGCTGAGGGGCATCGTGAGGAGAAACAAAGAGATGCATTCCTCTACACAGAGGCCTTACAACACCGTGTCAGCTGGGCTCATTAATGTGGCTTGATCGGACCTGGCTGCAGACACAGGGAGCCTCTGGAGCCCTGGGGTGGATCTGAAGTGACTTGTTTCTAATGGCTTATTTCACTCACACATTAGATTGCATCCTTTGACCTGCGAACAAGGCATCTTGTACCAACAGGTTTACCTTTGCTGCTTAGAAAGGAAAAACAGAAAGTCAGAACTCTACAGGTCAGTGAATGACAGGGGATATCGTCTAGGAGCACAGCTTTTCTTCATAGGAGAAAATATCAGAAAGAACAAGGGTGAACCTCGCTGCTCCTACCCTGTTCCTCTCTCCTGTTTTCCTTTGTTCAAAATCCTCTCATCTGTACAACAGAGGGTTTAAAAGACCCAAGCAAGCTTCGAATCATCTTGCAGTATCTCGCAGATCATCACCTTAAAAATGTACCACCCACCCCCCGCTCTCTGCCCAGATGGTTAAGACTAAAACTACAACTGTGAATCTTTGACGGGCATCAGGGTTTTGGTGATGAAGACTCAGTGTTGTTGTATTTTATAATTTAGGACAAAGCTTGTTTCTTTCAGAGAGAGCATGTACTGAATGTGACCTCCTTAAGGTCATAAACCTGGACCCGCAGAATATTTAAGAGCGTTTGTCATCTTTAATGAAGAGCATTGATTATGTGATCACTGTTTTAAAAAACCTAACAAATGACTAATATGTTCTTTTTTAAAAAAATCAATATGGCTGCTTTCCAGGAGAGGATAAGAAGGACCTGGCTATTGATTGAGCACAGAGAGAATAGCTGCTCCATGATATTGGGGGAGCTACCACAGCTGAAATAAAACAGTCACCTCTCAGAACAAGAACATGAGAACGGAAAGGAGAACACAGCTCATCCAGCCCACCGGGGCTGAAGAGATCAGACGACGGGCAGAAAGCAAGTTTCGTTTCTAAAACACTTTCCAAAGTTAATTTATATAACTAAACGCAATTTCAGCTGACTTTTTAATGTATGTATCTCAAAAGGTAATGAAAGCACAGGCTTAAATCTTCATGGTGCTTCTGGCATCAGAGATACAGCAGCCTGAACTTTACCTCGGTGTTCAGGGACCTCCTTGGCTTCAAGAGTTGATTGTCATCTGCTTGAAATGAATTTGGTGGCTTTATACCTCCTTCAACACACAGCCTGTGTCTTGAAATTACACAAATGGCTCTTTGTATCCATTAATTAGTTTATTCAATTGTTCAGAAGCTTATTTGTAAGTAATGTGCAGTTAGTTAACAATAAAACAGATTTATTCACTATTGGTTTAACAGCTACACAAAAGGGTATTAATTTAGGCCTGTTTATTACTTACGATTGTAGGCAGCTTTTCCTTTGAAGATTTTTCTATTACTGCATTTACAAATTGAATACTGAAAAAATGATGTATTTAACATTATTTTGCATCCTGAACTGCTGTATACTCAAAAAGCACTGAAACACCAAACCAAATTTGATAGTTTCATTTTCATGCGCCACCTACTTGGAAAATAATCATTAAAATGTCTGGACTACCTTTGTTGATATTTATATATACTGTATATTTAGACTGATTTTAAACATGATATAAATACCCTTCTTAAATTTCCATTAGTTTCTAGACTTTCTGCCAGACTGCATTATGGTTTTAATTAATAATGTAGAGCCAACAGGAATGCATTTTTTTATCACAAGTATGAAATGTCAGGCCACACCCTGGTTGTACAAGTCTTTATCTCGATGGATGATGGCTGGCATGTTTTTATTTTTCTCCTGATTTAAACACAGTAGAAAAACCTTCACTGATTTATGAGATTGCCACTGCTGTACTTCAGGGGAAAAGGCTTGTGATTTGTGAAAGGATTACATAGGGCTGCGCAAACCTTTGCACTGCATCAGTTAATTTAATATATGGGACGAGGCTAATTCTTTGTTAATATGGTTTAAAACAACTTATTTCAGGACACATTCTTGGAAAACAGTGTGGCAGTTTTAGGACATTAAATTATTTTTTATAATGAGCTGGGGAAAAACTAAGGTTGCTGCTGGAAGAGGTGTTAGTGGGGCCCCAGGATGGTGACAGGGACACTATACTGTAAACAGGCGCTGTCTTTCGGATGAGATGTAATACCGAGGTCCTGACTCCCTGTGGTCAACAAAAATCCCAGGGCATGTCTCGAAAAGAGTAGGGGTGTTACCCCGGCGTCCTGGGCAAAATTCCCATGGCCTTTACCAATCATGGCCTCCTAATAATCCCCCTCTATGAATTGGCTTCATTACTCTGCTCTCCTCCCCACTGAGAGCTGATGTGTGGTGAGCGTTCTGGCGCACTATGGCTGCCGTCGCATCATCCAGGTGGGGCTGCACACTGGTGGTGAGGAGGGGAGTCCCCATTACCTGTAAAGATCTTTGAGTGTAGTGTCCAGAAAAGAGCTATATAAGTGTAAAAGATTATTATTGTGATTATTATTATTATTAAGATGACTGGGATTCTACCGTTGCATGTTTTAAACAGAAACGTAAAATAACACATGTATTGCTAAAACCCTTCCTTTATTCAATTTCATACCAAAGGCAGCCACTCTGAAAAAAAATTGATACAAATACACTGTAAAAGCAAGCAACAGAAAAATCCTCATAAAAAGTACAGGGGTTTTTACAGTCAAACATCCAGCTGAGAAACTGACAAAAGCCCATCAGCGATAAATTGAAAAGCACTTGTGAATGTGTTTCATTCTCATTGTCAAGCTTTTCCACTCACGAGGCTCTCTCATACAATTTGCTCTGCTGAAATCCAGACCCTCCACTGGCAATGGCAGTAATAGCTTTTCTCCTCCTGTGCGGACAGGTCGTTTTCTGTTAGGCTTCTGGCTCGACTGTACTTCCGATCGATCACACTGCAAAACTCCAAATCCACAGAATTAAAGCCCCAAACCGGGGAAGTGTCCTTGCTGTGGAAAGGGGGGTACTGTATCGCCACACGTGCAGTCGTTACATCATGTGAGGAATATGATAAACAGCAATACGGTCTCACTGGTGGACTGTGCATTACCTAAAGTCTAAAATCAGAAAAACTACTAGCTTCAATACAATAGTCATACATTTCTTTTGACAAAAAAATAACCTCACTAGGGAGCTGGAGATGAAGGACCGAGCAGCAGGTTAAACCGTATACAAGGTTACCTTAGAGCATAAATCTAATTAAATTTAGTCAAGGTGCTATGGTCGTCTTATCAAAACATTGCACTATCGGTAATGTAGTCTTATATCTCTTGCGAAAAAGTGTCTTGTATAATAGTTTAAAAAATTCTGACATCCAGATTAGAAAAGATGAACTTCCTGAAGTTCCAAGTGTGTGCCAGGTAGGTGGTGTATATAATCTGTGTAAAATATAAAAAACAGCATTTTGTAAGATGCACCAATTTTTATTTCCAATAAGCCTGAGTACCCGTGAACACATACATCACACAGACATTTCTTCATCATCAGAAGCAGGGAGAGAGTAATATAATGGCCCAACAGCTGATGTCCTGAGTTATTTTCTGTGAATTCCCTTTTTAGTTTGCAATTTCATTACTATTTTTGGCCACCATTTCAAGAAGACTCTGCCTGGTGACCTGCCACCAGTACTCGACTGTACTGTGACATTTCTTTATGCTTGGGTTTGTATTTGCTGCCTGCTACACCCCTTCAATACGCTCATCTGGGTGAGACTGAGAGGTGATCAGAACGCTCAATCATCCACACAGATCGGTAACACTGCTGAGGTGTGGATTATATATTTATTCTAACGTTATTCAGAACTTGGTCATGGGCTTATCCCCAATATAACATCCACATCTTAGAATCCAATCAAATACTGTCCCGGTCTTTTGATAAAACAAGTATTACCAGTTATCAAGTACACATGGTGAAAGAAGCAACCACAGCCAACAAGGTTCATCTTTAAAGTCTTGTTTTATTCACACTCCAAGGATTTCAAGGGGTCTCACTCCTTTCCCATTTATTCCCTCAAGCTACCAAAGGCTTTGCTGGTTATTAAACCTATGATCCCAAAAAAAAAACAGTGCGGCATTCCCTGAGGAACAGCCTTTCTGACACCTGTTTCAGGCTGTTTCCTGCACGTGCTGTCAACAGTGATGCAATTGTGAGTTTGAAATGTCTGACATCGGCTGATCAGATTATAAACATTTTACACAATATCCTTGGCCTTTAAGAAAAGGTCAGTTCTAGTTAAAGTCAGAAGAGAAAATAACAGCACATGGCAGTATTACTTAACACCTGAAGCACAACACCAAATCGTGGTGTGATATGTTTGTTAAAAGCTCAGAATTCTGCCTTTTTAATCAGAACAGATCATTCATCTGCAGTGTTACAAAACTGCCATTTCAGACAGGCATAATGTTACAGCGACTTAGAAAAGCAGAGAAAGAGCAAATTCGCCATTTGAAAAAGTACAAAATCCTAGTAAATGTATCATTTTTTTGTTCTGAGAAATGATTCATGAAATGAGAGTTAGGCAACACCATTACACCAGAGTGACATAAACCAGCTTTATCCAGTTGTATCTGAACTGATCTGGTTTGTTACAATAGGTTGTTAATAAGTTATTTTTTATTCTTCATATTTGATGCAATTTTTTGTTTTTTTAATGCACCTTTTTGGAATTATTAAGGCTTCCCCAAGGCATACAGTTAAATTAGAATTGGACTTTAAAAGTGTATTCACTTTTAAATCAATATTGTCTGTTTGAAAATGATTCCCAGGGGTAATTAACTGGTACAGGCAGTAAACAAAAATAAAATTATAGCCTTATTTTATTCTGACAGCTCCTATTTTTAAACTGCCAAGAGATGAGACATTTTTTCAAGGTGTCATCTGTTTATCTTCACCGTGATGTTGAGCTCAAATAGACAAATTAGTCTGCTTCCGGTTTCCCCAAGAACCATGATGGGAAATATGGAGAATGTGGGTTATCACACACGCTGTCCCTCTCCAATGATCCTGCATCTCTCTTTAATGCAGCAGCATTAAACCCAGAGTCACTGGGGCCAACAGTGTGCCTATTTGTCAAGTCATCCTTAAACGGTTGTACTGATTCTCCTGCCTATCAGTCTGTCAATGGAACTGATGTGAGTGGGGTTACCAAAGACCAAAGTGACCATACTGGTGGATTCTCCAACTGAGCCCAGACAGACACATGGAACACAGCCCCACTCTGCAAGATGTGGTCTTCCTTTAACCCGGCAGGATGACAGTGAAAGTCTAGTGAAAATGGGGAGCAGCCTGCACTTACACTGGCACCACTACCAGACCCTCGCGAGGTGTCCTCACAGACTCGTGCAGTGCAGCGTCATCTGTCACGTTTCACTGATACTTTCACACAAAGCAACAATATTTGGTACAAACTGGCCTGTTTTTAGCAAAGAAAGGAGAGAGAAAGAGATGCAAAAGAAAGACAAAAGAAAAAAAGACAAAAGACGCAAAAGAAAGACAAACCAAACTGTTGCTGTAAGCTCGAGGAGATAAAACAATAAATTGGACGGAAAGGAAATTGTGATTATGCCTCGTTCACACAACGGCGAACTCCAATGTGTCCACTAGGGGGCAGTCATAGAGAGTTTAACAATCAAAACAGCTAAATGTAGGAGTAAAACAAGAAGTGCAGGCTTTGAAATATATATATAATATGCAACACTCCACTGATCAAACACAAAGTCCTAAACCAACCATAGAGTGGCTACAACTATACAGTTGCAAGTTCAGCTTTGCAGTAATTGAAATGTATCTATTCTAACTACTTTACTTACATTCACTTTCACCTTTAGGTGAATTTCAGACCGGGAAATGCAATCACAAGAGACACAGTACTGATTTGTTTTCGCTCCTCATTCCAGTGATGCCGCTTCCTGCATGACTTTCTGCTGTCAAGAACATTATTTTCTACTTAATTAAGCACTTACATATGAAGCACTAGGGTTCCTTCTAGATCATTTACGCATTACATAATAATAGTAATGCAAAAAGAGGCTACAAATTTAACCTGAGAAATGGGAAATGATATTACACGTTCATGCATGTGTCAAGGGGAAAATGTTCTAAAGGTCAGCAGGTGTCATTTTGTAAGGCCAATGCTAAATATTCAAGTCCCTTTCAGATGTAAGTAATACAGCAGGTACGCAGCCTTATATCAGAAAAATGAAAGTCATGACCCATGTGTTAAACAAATTCTAGTGCTATAAAAGTTCTGATTATTTTTCTGTTAATAGCCTGGCTTGACAAACAAGCATTTCAGTTATGTGGTTAAAGAAAAAAAGAAAATTTAAACACCAATTTGAATATTTTGGGGGAAAAAAACAAATCTGAGGCTTACAGTAAACACAAACAACAACCTAGTGATATGTCATAGGACCACACTGTGAACATTACAAATGAGGACAGACCAAAACATCCCAGCCTTATTTTGCCTCCAGCAAGGATAGGAAGAATATTTAAATAAACCTACTGCTTCTAAACAACTTAGGAGATTTATGCCTCCTTAAACTCCTTTGGCTTTTTTATTTAAATGAAAAAGTCAGGGACTACAAAACACAGTGAGTCCTCAGTCAGGAATTAGATTATTTTAAATACATAATGACATTGCAACAAAAAGAAATCAGATATGATCTTTAATTCAGAGTAAATGCAGTGCAGGGAGGAGGTGGGGGGATCATTCTCTGAGATGGATAAACCCCAGGGGACACCCAATTCATCCTGCGCAACAGAATAAAAACCACTCACAGCATCGGGAGGAAATTAGCTTAACAGCCATTTGATCATTATGCAAATAGAAGCTACTTCGTCTTCTCTGCACAATGGTGGTGGTAGGAGCTTAAAATGATCGACACAAGTGGTGAATGAACTTAGCCTGTTTGTTTAGTTGGACAGATCAACAACATGCCAAAGATGGGAGTGTCTGGGCTGATCCTCAGCCTGAACCTGATATTTGCAGTACATTCGACTACACCCCCTGAGATCCCCTAACTGCGATCTTGTTTCGTGTATCTTTACACTGTCACTGGGAACACAGAATATGCATCAATTCACATTCAGTACCTCCTTCCTGTCCAAATCCAGCTCAGGTGCACAGTAGCACAGCAAAATTAATTTAATCTACACACATTAAATAACCCTTTTCTTAGATGTACGATTTCCTTACAACTGAATTGCACCGTAAAGATCCTCTGTATAACAGCAGTGTGAGAGGACTAAGGGACGCAGTGCAGTTTTTGAGCGCAGTCTATCTTCTCGCGGGAGAAGAACATCTCTGGACAGAACCGCCTGAACGTCTGTTAAAAATCCCCATAGTGACTCTTTTTCCTTTTCAAGTCTCTTTCTCTCCCTGAGGCTCCCCCAGACGTCACAGCGCCGCCGCCGCCACCGCGGTCCCCAGGAAAGACCCCCCCAGCCTCCAGGACCTGCCTCACCGTCACGTTGACTCGCGAGCTCCGGATGTACCCCGCGCACACTTCCCAGTCCTCCCGAGAGACCGGGCCGACGGCAGAGTCTTCCGGCGGGTCCGGCTGCAGCCGCGGGAGGAGACACGGGGGCAGGGGGTCTTCGGCGGGACTGGCGGCGACGATGCGTGGCACAGCGTGGTACCGCAGCCTGCTGGGCCCCGACATCACCATGATGTCGCCGCTGTGCATGAACATGGCGGTGGCGGGGTCCTCGCGCCTCATCCCGCCAAGAAGGAAGACGGCCGACTGTCCGAAACTATGAGGAACAAAGCGGAAACGGGAACACTGACGGGGGAAGATGGTACCATTCAGGACATACAGATGTCAAACACCCGACTGTGAGGTCATGTCACTGCAGCGCCCATCTGGCGAATAAAGCGGTAGAAACTGCCCCTGTGCGATGGCGCTCATTCTGAGCAAACGTCTTCGATAGGAAAATAATCTTTAATCTTTGGCCCAACTTTGAACAAGTGTGATACCGTCGGAAAATTTTAATGATTTCCATTAACTGCTCAGGGTTAAATTAAGCGTATGTCTTATGTGTTGTTCCACTTACTGCTTCAGTCCGGGACTCCCAGTTAAATTAACAGGCACAATTACCATGTCATAATATGGTAATGGGATTTCTTCTTAGATAGCAATTTCCACTATCCTACTTGGCAACTAGTTACCTAGTAGGAGTGCTATCTGTGTGATAACAATACAACCATGTTATATAACAGAAGGCCGGGCACTGAATTAAGTTATCTTTTGTGTTTGCCCAGAAGAAACGCCTGGGGTTTTCTCAAACAGCCCTGCCACATGAGCTCACCTGAAGGACAGGAGTGGCTGCGAGTGGTCGAGCTCAGACTCGTCGACGTGTATCCCCAGAGATGAATCGAGGTGATAGTAGTTCAGGATCCCCGCCTCCGAGCTGAAGCTGGGAAAGCCACAGGCCGTGGCCACTCGCGCGGCCAGCGTGTGCAGGTCCGAGGGGAAGGGGGTGTGGTGGGCTGGGGAGTACGTCTGAAACAACAAACCCATCCCTCAAGGTGTGAAGCTCACGCGAGCAAAGAAGCACAGCGTCCCCCAGGAGAGGGCGAGAAGGCGCCAGAACGCTCTATAATTCTTTCCCTGTTCTTTTCTCTTCAAAAAGTTTATAAGGACACTGTGGTAACAGGTAGAGCAGATTTCCAGTCTCAGTCATCTGCCAGCTTGGTGATGCTGTTTGACACCATCCTGAATGTCAGGAGGCTGTCTTTCTAGATCCACCAGAAACTGTCAGGGGCTTAAGGGCCTTCTGGCTTAACTGGAACCCTAAAACTCCCTTCAGCAGCAAAAGTAAAATCATATCGGTACCAAGATGCACTAAAAATACAACAAAGCTAGATGGTGCTGTAACCATCTTTTGTGTTTTTCATGCCTCAAAGTGCACATAACCTTCAAAGAGCTACAGCTGCCTAGATCTCATCACGACTCAAAATGCTTTCCTGACATTTTCAGAGCTGCTGAACTCCACTGTACTGTGACAAAAAAAGTCTGTATCTGCCGCACTTTAATATTATTAAACTTTTGTTTCATGCAGTCAAGCTGTTGGGACTGGCAGACGTTGCCAGAGCGTTTCTGCGCTGGTAGAAAAGAAGAAACCACCTGTCGAGTGGAGGGCGGCGCCTCAGACAGACACAAATGACGTCTACCACTCAGTACAAGGTCAGCTCGTGGTCACTGCAGAAACCCAACAAATGGCTTGGCCATGTGATGAAGGAAATCCATTTGTCTACAGTGAAACTAATCATTTAAATTTCATGAGCAGGGATACAAAAAGGAGAACAAATAGATTCCTGCCACCTTTTCTGAGGTTTATCGGTGCATTTTGTACCTCCCTCTGTTTGCCTCCCGTATTAGCATTCAGGCAGAATTATGTAATCAGTAAATAAACATTCAAGCTGCCTTTACAAACGGTTCAATGAATACATAATACATCTGATCTTAATGGTGCCTGTACCGAGACTCTTCTGCATCAATTAGGGCAAATTCCTGTTAAAATTCACAGATTGTTGTCAGACATTTTGCAATGTCAAATAGAGATCAAAGCTAATGAATTCGGTATGCAATTCCTGATTTAATATGGAATAAGACTAAATAGTGTTACTGCAAATAGCATATAAACTAGACAGGGTTCATTCCCATACAATAAGGAAAGAACTGTCCTATAGCCAAAATAAAAGAATCCTAAAGGCAATGCACTCCCTTCAGAAGAATAAAACCAAAACCGGGTACATAAATGAAACTGAATAAACAGAATAAATCCAACTGAATTAATGTAATAGCACAAAAAAACAACAAAACCAACCAAACACTGAAAATCCATGTAAATATATCTGAAATGGAGAAGCAGTTTATGAATCACTATCAAAATCTGAAAATCAATGAAAATATCTAGGGCTCCACTTTTTCCAGGAGGTCAAATAAATAAGGAGGGACACACTGTAGAAATTCTCATATTCAAATCACTAAGAGGACTCTGACTCCCAGAGCCTTGTGATGACATTTAATCTGTTCAAAATCCATATGAAGATATTATTACCCGCAGGAACTGCTACTGAAGAATGCTTGGCGCAAAGACAGACAAGAGAGCAACTGGAATCAGAAGACACTGCCTTCATAAGAGGCTTGGACACTCTTGGGCAGGGGATGGATTTCATGAGAGAATTCCAGGAACAACCAAGAATTAAGATGGAATTTGAATTGTTTCACCTGTATCAAAAATCCAGAAGAGGCCCTTTTAACCTTCATGGGATGTCAGATATTCTGAGGGTTAGCTCACTCAGAGAACACGGGTGTTCATTGGTGTGGAATACAAAAACACAACATGTCTCATGTTTAAAACTGTGCTATAGTGACAAATATTAGCTGTAGTTTTTAACCTGTGGCTCCTTGTTGCACATGTGGACCAAACAGACTAGCAGTCACCTTGGTGTCCCAGTTATAGTGATAGCCGAGGGTCACCCAGCGGAGTTTCTCCAGAAGGCTCTTCGGCTCTCTCTTCCCGGCTCTTTTCCGCCTGCGGGGGAGGGAGAAGCTTTTCAGTTCATGAAAGAGATAAAAAAGGACAGAGCACTCGACATCGTTGACCTTTCGAAATTCCCACTGCGAGCAGCCTCTTACGAGCAATCAGCTACACTGCCATAATCTCCGCGGGCAGCAGGTGGTTTCCAGAAGCTGTAAAAGCGGAAAGTGAACATTCGCACACGGATTAGTCAGGTCAAGATCTGCACCGCCGTGCTAAAGGTCACGAGGAAAAGCAGTGATCACCAGGCGCAAAACAAAATAGCAACTTTAAAGTAAAGATTACTCCAAAGGTTTTCTTCATTTAAAGTACATATGGCATATAACATTCCTTCCAAGTTTCTTTTTTTTGACAAGTTTTTCTTTTTTTCCCCCTCCAAACAAGTACTATTTAAAAGAAAAACTTTACACAAGTCTCCAAACAGCGCTGGAAAACAGCATGAGGTCGCTTATCAATCACACACAGATCTGCCATTTTACTTTAGACTCTGGATTTCAAAGACACCTCTTGGTTTATCAGATGAGGGAAGGACAGTACAAAATCTAAAAAGACCGTGGAGAAAGAAAAATGATTCCATGGAATAATTCTAATGCATTTTTAGTAGGCCAATTCAAGCTGACTTTGATGTCTAATACATAAACGAAAATGCAGAAAATAAATGACTCACCACATATTAAAAAAAGATGCAATAAACATGATTAAGACTCAAATGGCAGGGGATTGCCTGCACTCTAATACTCCTCTGTGTTAAGAATTAAATTAAAGACTGTACTGGGAATATAGATCCACAACCCAGGATTTGCTCCGTGCCAGCAATGGGCTGCATAGCTACGGACATGCATTGCTGCAAAGTCAGAGTAGAGGGTGGCATCACAACCTCCTTCTCTCTTCACCGGCCTCCACACGGCTTCCTCAGACCACAGCTGTAACATTTTTACTCATTTCCAGTTAGTGACTGGGAACACAGGAACAGAAAACTGAAAATGAGAAACATCAGCAATGTTCATCTGTAATATGCACACAACCCCCGTGCTGTGCAAAGGAAGATGTCAGTTTTGCGCCGCAGGTGTACGGTACGCAGTGAGAGCTCACCTCAGCTGGTCTTTGCTCTGTTCCCAGAGGTTCTGAGTTTCAGACGTGGGCATGTGCATGTCCAGGTTGCAGATGTTGGGTTTCTGGGGGTACACTTTCAGGCACTGCTTGACCCAGTGCTGCTGGGAGCCAGGCAGGAAGGGGTTGGTGATGAAAATAAACCCTGTTTAAAGACAATATTTGCAACCATCTTTCACAGTATCTTAAGCAACCTGCTTATTTTTAAAACATTTTAGATATTGTTAATTCTGCATTTATTTCAAATTCATTAATTAACACCAGGTGTTGCTGATACAGTTTTTTCAACCATGTGCTTCTGCTTACATTAAATGTCAGGTTTTCTCCTTTTATTAAGAAATGCTATGTAATCATTTATTAACTGCAGAGTTATTTACACAGCTGGTGCACAGACATTGCTCTTTCTATCAAGTTACACTGAAAGGCTTTAGCACTGTGATACAACCTTGCACTTCATACTGCACTGACTGTTTTGTTGTGGTTTTATTGTTGTCTTAAGATAATGTTATATGCACCTTTTGTATTTTAACTGGATGCAATTGTAATTCTTTTCAGGTAAAAACATCTGCCAAATGGGTAAATGTATTGTATAATATACAGACGTCACATAAGGAATCCAAAACCTTTCAGCAAGGAGGGAAAAAATGATTTATTTTAAAGTTGATTCTGTGGAGCACCTTAGAAGGTAATTATTTTTTAAATGAAAATGCAATGGATATTTTATTTATCTACCATGTGGCTAGCAGTTGCTCAGTTGCATTCTATACTGGCATGCTTTTTTGAGAAAATCGCCCAGTATTATCAGTCCATATTTTGTAAACATGACCTTCTGTACTGCATAAGTTATGGTACAGCTGCTCTGTACCTACAGAGCTGGAACAATGTTTTTTTCTGTCACCACATGACCTAAGAACAGAAGGAGCACAAATGACAGGAGGCTGTTCAGTCCATCTTGTTTATTTGAGTTGCAGTAGCTTATCGATCACAAAATCTTCTCCAGCCACTTCTTCAACAGAATGCTGTTAGTTCCTGGCACCTCTGACTCTGTGTGCAAACACATTCCTTCCTTTTACAGTCTTAAACACATTTTCCCTTAATTTGCACTTATGATCCTGTGCCCTTGTGTTGTTGGTGAAGCACTACCCTTGGCATGATTCTGAAAACCTGCATAACCTCATCTCACAGTCTTCTTCATACAAGTCGAAAGACAGTCAAGCAATAGAGACATTCTGTGTGGCTTCAAAACAAACCTGTAACACATGGAAATATGTCCTACTTGTCTTCACTGAATAGAGCATTTACCTTCGCAGTGGTAAATGTGCTTCTTAAGTACTGATCAAAATTGCTTCTACCTCTTGAGCTGTACTTCATCTCAAACATCATTCTTCTTTTAATCTGTATCTTGGCTCATAAGGTATTAAAGTCATAGATACTTCTTAAGTTACAAATGACTTTTCCCCATTATGTACATTTCAAGAGTTACAAAACAATAGCTTCTGGGGGGAAAAGGAGATTCATTTTAACACAAAAACGCTGATCTTGACAGAGAAACTACCAGCATCGCGCCTGATCTCCAAGAAGGAAGGAAGGCAGGGGCTGGTAAGAGCTTGGCTGGGAGACCTCTGAGGTTGAGGAAAAACAAGGGAACAGAGACAGTGTCTTGTAGTCTGTGCCAAATTTTAGATGAGACATTAAACCAACTTCCAAACAGCCATCGAAGGCCCTGCTTGACTGTTTGTAAGAGAGGGAAGTTACCACTGATGTCCTGGCTGGAACTGAACAATCTGGCCTCCTCATAGTTCCCCTTAAATAACCTGTTGGGGCTGCACTTGACGTGGGCCACCTCCTATACTGTATGTGAGTTGCTTTGGGATAAAAAGTGCTATACTGCATATACATGCCAGGAGTGCTTATAAAATTGTCATACACATCTTCTGACTTCAGACAGAAAAATACCTGGATGCCCCTCCAGGCCAAAGGCCTTCCAGTGGTGGACAGGGTGCAGTCCAGCACACCGAGCAGCTGTGTCACTCACCGATGTAGCACTGAGCTCAGTCCTGAGCACCTGCAGGGAGAGAGACTGTTCGAGAAGCAGCCCCTGGTACAGACCAGTGAGTCAGGTCACTTCTTAAAACTCTAACAGGACCTCTGTATAAATGCCCACATTCCTTTGTAATAGATGATACAACAGAATAATCTGGGGCTAAAAATGGTAAATACACCTACACAGATAAACAGGAGGTTTGGCATCACCTGTGTGAACTGCTCTTAAAAAAAAACAATTGCACTTGTCTCATTCTGGTCTGAAAACCTCCAAAAACCTTTTTATTGGTGTTTTCCTTTATGCATGAATTGTTTAGAATTAAAGCTTTAGCCTGTATATATCAGACCTGTGCTCTATATTTTTAATATAACTTTGAATTAATGTTGCTTAGAAACAATTGAGTCATAAATAGCCCAGAGAAAGAGAACATAGGTCAGTGTGAATCAGCCCTGGTAACTGAAGCTATTGACATTCAAAGAGACCACTTGTTTTACTTCACGGACTACAGTGAAATAACAAGAAAATGGTCAAATGAAACATACTGAATCATTGGTCAGCCAAGCCCACTTTTCAACCAAGAACAAGACAATTGCCGTTGTTACAGTACACATATTTAAATTAAGACTTATTACATTTATTTTGAAGGTTGCTGGCATTAATGTATATTTTATCCAAACATTTAAGGAGGCTAATTACTCCATGAAAATGTATTTAATCATAAATGAAATCACTATTGATGCATATAATTTAGAATTTAGAATTCAAATTCTACACATCAACATTAATGCAAAAGTAATAAAAACTCATCTTTGAATTGCAACCCCATGATGAAGCGTCTCTTTGGAGCAGAGCCTCCATGTTTCATAATTTCCTGTTTGATAGCCACATACAATTCTGTTTTATTCATCCGTGACTGCAATTTTTCAAACATTGAAAACTTGATTAAAGAAAATTACTTTCATAATTCAGTATTTAAAGAACAACGGTTCAGTGAAAATATTTTCAAATGACTAATTCTGAGCAGTAATTAATCCAAAACCTCACACATTTTAGGATTGGGCAGCCAGCTCTGTAAAACTTGAGGTAATTTCAGCAAAACAAGTGAGTGTTCGTCTCATTCTGATCCAAGGTGTGTAGGGCCAGTCCAAACAGACGTGGCCAGTATTTCTTCAGTCTGTGTCGATAAAGTAATTGGGATTGTCTCAGCCACATTCCGGCCTTGGCTCTAAGTTGTAGCCTTGTGGGAAGTAACAGAGAAAGTAGAATGGTCCAGACAAAATGTCAACCAAACCATTTACACTCATTATCAAATGAACCCTTGAGCCTTAATTGGCTCTGGGAGAACAGTAATGGTGCATGAAAGATCCAGTCTGGATTGAGAGACCAGTAACAATTCACACTGTGAAGACAGCAGGACAGAGGAACGCTCTCTATGGCTAGACAGCGTTGCTATCTCCGGCAGTCTTCTTGTCAGTGAGCACTCACCTCATGGTACAGAAAGATTTGCAAGTTCTGTGTTGGCTTGTTTTCCAGTGCAAGAAAGCCACATGTGTTTGTCATCTTTATTCCTAATCAGTTCACAGTAGACCTGTACTTCACCCTCTCTCTGCACGTAGGAAGGGTGAATGCTAGGGATCTGAACTACTCCATTCAGAAATGTCTTTATTTTCACCCACGCAAACAGCAGCTGCCAGAATCCCTAGGCAGCATCCATCTCTCAGAGCTCTGGCACGCATCTCCTTCAGATTCCACTCTAAACACAAGATGCCCCTACAGAGGGTCATTTCCTTTCCGCTATCCTTGCCGAGCTTTCGCGTAACGCAAGGCGATCAGTCTCATGGCTTTGTACGGCTTATTTCACTTTTCATATCTTGCGGCAGAAAAGGAAAAATAAGCACTGTAGTGTCCATCCTTAATGATATTAGAAGTATTATGCAATCTACTTGGCTGTCAAGAGGAAAAAACTGTTACACAGCCATTCATCCCAGTTGTCTTCAAACACCACTGCTTTTCATGTCCCTGTTGTTTCGTACCATTCCAACAGACTGAGTAAACTACATCTCGATACATACATCTCAGTACATATATTGCAGAACTTATATATATAATATATATATGTAGTATAAATACTTTTCTGTACATATAATAAATACATTACATATTGCACACTAATAGCATTTGTTCACCAATCTCTAATTAAAATCGTCAAAGTAATATGTAATTGTTTGTATTTTCTATTGTGAATTAAGAAAACCTGATTACCAGGGCCCATTAAACAGGCCATAAGGGAAACACTGGAGATCGAGAATCACAAGATGGCGGAAATGGTAAATCCCTGCCTCTCAGGTGGCACACATCCTTCATAACACAGAGAAACTGACTGAGAGCAGCTGGAACCAGGTGGCCAAAGGAAATGAAACACTAACAACCCCACCTACTAACACATCGCCAAATACATCGGCTCCACTCCAGAACCAGAACACAGACAACCAAGACCTGAACCAAGCTCCTGGAGTCCAGTCACCCCTCTGATCACCTTCAACCAAACCAGTGACACCAAGAGCACAAGAAAAGGGAAATGGTGATGACTGGAGATTCTCTCCAACAGAATGCTTTCTCTCCAAATGCTGGTTAATCTCACACAAGGAGAATGAGGTGCGAGTAAAATCCTTTGACATCTACTCTACACCGGGCGGTGCTCAGGGTGCCCAGCGGTGTGCCGCCACAAGTGGCCTCTGACTCAGGCTCCGCCCCGCCGTGCGTGAACGACAGGGCCTGTGCTGGCTGGACCACTCAGGAGCCCCATGTCCTTAATGAGGGCTAATTCTACACTCAAACTATACAACTTTAGCAATTGTCCAACGAACTCCCAACCAAAGTGACAGCTGGAAGAGTCACAAGTCTAATAAAATCTCTTTTTTTATTTAAATATAATTTAGGAGAAACCAGATTGGGTGCATGTGTGACTTGAATATCAGGTGTGACGAAAATCAAGAAAGAAAAATACAGAAAGTAATCAATGAGCTTCACTTATCTGAATGTTGGAGCCACATGTGCTAAACCTGCCAGTAGTGGAACCAAGTGCTCTTTGGAAATGAATCAGAGCGTTGTGTAAAGCACTCTGATGGATGTCAGGGAGTGTGACACAGTAACTGTTATGTACAACACTTTTGTCAAAGGGGGTTCCAAATGTGATAGTGTGTGTAGGAGTGTCTAGTCACGACAGAACTACACTTAGAGTTACTGTGGGCCTCACTGCAAGGCACTACACTCATGAAGTCCTGCGACCTCACTCCCTGCAGGTGAATCCACACATGATAACTCACTGCAGGACAGAGCACGGCCCCACAGCGCTTGCTTAACCACCCTTCTTGGAAGATGAAAGTGTAGCAGCCTTGTTGTGGAGTGGCCTACTCTTTTTGAGCCTTGTTGGACATTTGCAGGATGACCTGGAACAATGTGTGGCATGTAGGGCACAGAAACCAGAGAACAGGTTCATACTAGCCCTGACAGTATGCCACCAGACAGCACTTTGTGTAGAGCATGTACTGCGGATGTATGGCTTGCACTGCTTCCAACAGTGGCCAGATATGATTATCCAGGTGACGTTCAGATTAGACCATCGGTGATGACAACGGGTAATCATGATAATGAACGGTCATTGCTGTTCAATAAAATGTCACCTGTTACCAAAATATGGTAATCTTTCTGATACTTTTGTGAATGTGTCGCCGCTACAAGCGACACGCTTCTTTCAATGCCCAATATAGAAGCCATGTGCCTTAACCACACAGGGAGAAAACGATTTAGATGATTATTACTATTTTTCAGTGAGCTTTTAAACAATTGAAGTATGAAGACACACCTGGCCCTCTGACTTTTCCCCAAGGGCTCTTTTTGCTCTGCTCCTTGTGCATCTGAGGTCCCCCGAGTTTGAATTTCTCCTTCGATCCCTGTCTCAAGCCAACTTCATAATAGTGCCACCCCACTCATTTAGTGAAACACCACTGTGCCTGCAGAACGGCCACTTTCTATGGCAAAGGTTGAAGCCTTGTCCTCAGTATTTGGCTGTTTTGACCGATTACATTTCCAGTTGTTCGCCTTTGCATGGTGCAGACAGAATGCCTAATTAACTCACTGACTTCGAATATGTAAATTTAGTTCTGTGATCTTCGAAATTGTTTCTATTATATTGATTTTCCCCGGTATAAAATGCTGTGTCGTGTGTGAACCCACAATGATGCAGAAAAGTCAACTTTGGTAACAAGTTTCACCACAGCTAGTTAGATGTTATTAGGCATTTCTCATACCTTATCAGCTGCGCGTATGAAAGTTGGTCTCTGAGATAGTTTCTAACAATTATCACTACTAGCTAACGTAAGAATGGTACTACAGCACTCAAATCAAAACAAGACAGCTTCAGCTTTGTCGTCCGAAAACACTACATTAAGAAGTACAACAAATGCTTTGCTATTAGACAATATCGCACTACAAAATGTCTCTCTCCTATACTACCTATCAGAACGACTCTGAACTCTCAATAAAGACCGACATAACAAAGAGAAGGGTGATACTTATTTTATTCGAACAGAACTTTAGTTACCTTTCAAAAATCTCAAAACGCAAATAATGCACATTTTTTATTGATTAATTCGGAAGAACTTACTTTTCCATTTGTTACACCCTTTGTAAAATCTATGACATCGATGAAATCAGGGGGAGGGCTTCTTCTCTTATAAAACTTAAAAAGCTTTCTAAACGCATCTTCACCGTGCTCCACCATGGAGGCCGCCATCTTGATCATTCTTGTTTGACCTTTCAACTCCGCTTACTTCAGATTTTCACATTTTCCACCAACGACAATTTTTAATAAGATATTTACAAATTACAATATATTGTTTATAATATTTTCATTTATTTCAGCACTTTATCAATAATTTTATGGAATAAATATATTACATCAGGAGGGACGAGGTCAAAGGTAACTAATCGGCAGGTTGGAAAGATGGCGGCTCACACGAAGAAAGCTTTCGAAGTGTTTGTCTCTAAAATACCATGGACCACGGCAAGCCGTGAGTATTAGCCCTGCTCCTTTACAAAAACAACAGCCTGCAATGCAAAACTGGTGTTTTTGTGGTTCACGTTTTATATTTTATTATTACTTAAAACTGAAGCACTCTGCAGTGACATTGCGGGCGGATGTACGGTGTATTATCTATATTGGATAACTATATTATCCAGCGACTTTCCGTAATGTCAATGGACCCGTACACACAACGCAGTCTCACCAACACATTACAATGAAGGCATACGAGAATTAAGATAATGAAAATGTTTAAATTGAACCCTGAATGAGTTTCTATGGAGGAATTTTATGAGGAATGCCAATAATAAATCCATAGTTATACGGTGCTCTTCTGGACACTCCAGTCAAGCTCTTTACAGGTCATGGGGATCCCCTCCACCACCACCACCACCACCACTGTGTAGCCCCACTTGGATAATCCACCAGTACTCTCCCCACACACCAGCTCTCAGTGGGGAGGAGAGCAGAGTGATGAAGCTAGTTCATACATGGGTATTATTAGGAGGCCAAGATTGGTAAAGGCCAATAGTTAATTTGGTAAGGACACTAGGGTTACACCCCTACTCTTTTTGAGAAACTTCCTAGGATTTATAACGACCACAGAGAGCCAGGTCCTCGGTTTTATGGTCTCATCCTTTTTTACGGTATAGTGTTCCCATCACTATGCCGGGGCATTAATACCCCCACCTCTTCCAGCTGCAACCTTAGTTTTTCCCAGGAGGTTTCCCATCCAAGTAATGACCAGGCTCACACCTGTTGAGCTTCAGTGGGCTGCCAGTTGTGGGTTGCAGGGTGATATAGGTTCTGGCTCATGATCTTATTTTACACCTAAAGTACTATTCTATGTGCCAGTATCATAACCTTCCCTTTCAATAAATTGCTCTTCTTTGAGTTATTGTAACTAATTTTGCTGGCAACACCTGTATGATGCTGAATTATTTTTCTGTTGCAGAGGAGCTGAAGGAGTATTTTGGACAGTTTGGACAAGTGAAGAAATGTCTTTTACCTTTTGTAAGTCTTCCATATTTTATTCTGAGTTTGTTTTAATATTCAATACATCTTTGGTTTGTAAATGTACAACATCTATAGTGTGACTTTACAAGTGATGGTCACATTGGCTTTTAAATTGAGTAATGTGTTGCAGTGACCGATAGCACCACTGTCTCTGGTCCCGCGTGCTATTCAGGAATGGGAGGGATGTGTGGAGCTCGACTGTTCTCTTAAGAATACCCCGAGAAAACAACTTAGTCGATGGATTGTCCCGCTGTGTAGTCTCACCTTGCATTCGGTTTCTGGGATAGGCCTGCTGATAATTTGGTTATCGATTTACAGATGAGCATAATCTACATTTAAGCACTTTTCTACCTTTTACTTTACAGGATAAAGAGACTGGCTTTCACAGGGGCTTCTGCTGGATTGGGTACACCACTGAAGAAGGTCTTCAAAATGCACTGCAGAAGGACCCACATATTATAGAAGGATCAAAGGTATTTGATATGCAAAATGCTGTGCAATTAACTAGATAAACAAAAGTGAAGGAATATTTTGCAGATTGTTATATGTTGCACATTTATGGTTTTGGATAGGTTTATGTAAGCATTAAAATTGTTTTTCTTAAGTTAATCACCATGACAGCTTTTGCATTTTTCCTTCAAACAGAGCTTTTACCAAATTGTATTTTTCAAACTATGCCCACTAAATAATTAAAACCGGTTTCTTTTCAGCTCCAGGTGCAAAAGAACAGAAGAGTATTTGTGGGACGGAGGATAAACAGAGATGCTGGTGACTCAAGCTGAAAAAATTGTTTATGTACACCATGTTACTAATGTATAATTTTAATAAAGTTTACATTGGCATTGTTTCCCCACAAGTGAAAAAAATTATTCCATGTGTAACTGTACAGTTTGTGATAGAGAAAGAAATAATTATACCTGATATACACGGGCTTACAGGAATTCTACACTTGAGAAGACTATTCCAACATTTTTTCCAAAATGTGGCAGTTGGTTACTGGTCCCTTTCTGAATTGTAACTAATACATGAACGTAAAGCTGACAGGATGGAAGCTCTTGCCAATTAAACACTTTTTTTGGACTTCCATACGGACAGTGCCAAATCTTGCCATTAAAAAGTACAAAACACGAGAAACCACTTAAAATGTCAACAGCCGGCATTTCTTCTGAAAGAAGCCTTTGCTTTATTACACCTACAGCAAAAACAAAAACTATTCTACTAGACCGAGTAAAATGGAATCATTCCTTTCTCCGTTTTTTCTCATGGTCATAATCCTTTGAACGTCCACTAGCTGAAGGGCGTTTAGAGCCACCGTGCTGCTTGGCTTCTTCCAAGAACTTATCCAGACCAAAAGGATCCTCTTCGAACTGAACCGGGCCATCCCTGCGAGGCCCGTGCTCGCTCGCAGGGAATTCCTTCTCTGGGACAAACCTGAAATCGGGAAGGAAAGAAAATCACTTAGAATTAATTGAAGCTTAGACTTTAAATGGTTAATTTTTTGTCTAGTAATAAATGTTAAAGATAATTCTTCAGTATCTGTATTAAAGAACAATGTAAGATTCACTTAATTTAAGCAACATAAGCCTTTATGAGAATCAAGTGCACACTTTAACACCCCCAGAAATAATTCTGAACTTACCTGTTACTTTCGATCAGTGTGTCCAAATTAATGCTGTCTTTTTCAGTGTTCTTACTGGGCCTGTAGATAGTTTGAGCCATGGTGCTACCATTTCTAAAGGGCTGATCGTACACGTTGTACCCCTCATCATCACCACCACTAAATCCACTGTCCATACCCTGTAATCAAGAAGGAACACGGTAATGCTGTAAAATATTGAATACTTGAAAGATGCAAAATACAAACTGCTTTTCTATGTGATTTTACAGCCTTTCAAAACTGTTGCCCATTCTTTTTATCAACAGCAATACATTTCTGTACAATTTTTAAACATTACAATTGCAAAACTAATTTACTAATGATTAATAAACTCAGTTATCCCTTTTTAAAATCTAATGCTAGGTCATAATTCTCCCATCAAACCACAAAGGGAATAAATTCTACCTTGTTTTGGTTGAAAAGACGCTGGTCATACTGTGCCTCACTGGATGGACGAGGATTAGGCAGATTTAGGGCAATAATTTCACTGATATCCCTGTCCTGGTCTCTCTGCAGCTTCGATCTAAACAAAAAAAAAAGTCATGCCTTAAGTTTTTCTAAAAGGATTACACGTTCATGCTACTTGTGACACATTCAATATTAAACAGTAATAGATAAACACTGTTGCAGTAAAAACTGTGAAGTCATACCATAACATCTAAGAAACAGTACAACAAAAGATCATATTGATTTATATTGAGTTAGAAACTGAACATCTGCCAAGACTAGAGCAGTGATGGTCTATTGAAGGAATCGGTCATCTTGACCGGAGCTGGGTCACCTCTTGTCAGGAGCTGCTCTAGAGATCAGCCGCTCATGCTGTCTCTCTTTCCTTCTGTCGTGACGGATTTCATCACGTTCTCGAACCTCTCCGTCCTCTGCTCCTGGGGGGGGGATGAAGTGACATTGGTTCAGAACAAATGAGCTGGGAGAACTGAAACGTTCCAGGTGCACTGAGAACTTGCAAGTTCTTGAATCTAAGCAACGGCCCTTATTTTCACCGTTCACAACCTCAGCAGCCTGCAAACATTAAGTCCAGTGCAGGACAGCTCTGTTCATGGGGTTCGTGGGCTTGCAGCAGGCAATGTCTAACATTCTCCAAATCTCCATGCAACTGAAGGGCCACTAAAGTGGTTTTCCCCCAACTCCAGCAGATGCAGGTGGTGTCAGACAGACAACCCTGAGCACATACATCTGCTGCAGCAAAAAACATCTATACATCTTAGGCAGCACATTATATGGTATCTGCAGAAGCCACTGCCTACTCTTCTATGGAGAGTTCAGTAACTCAGCGTCAGTTTTATGGAAGGCATTCCTGCACCTTTGTCTCCATGGCCTTTGATGCCGGCTCTTCGTTCTCTTGCCATTTGAGCGAGTTCTCTGAGCTTCTCCTCTTTTTTCTCTTTCTCCTTTTGAGCCATCTTCCTTTCCACCTGCGCACGCATCTCCACTGCTTCACGAGCCTAATGGAAAGAAAAAAGCCAATAGAAATAAGCTATAGAAACAGGCTTACCAATCCCCTTTCGTACTACCCATGCACCTGTGACCAAAATAGCTGCTCACTCCTAATAACAGTCACAGAAAGCCAGAGCCCATCCTGAAAGAGTGTGGTGCATGGCAGAAATTTACTCTGGATGATACGCCAGTGCACTGCAGGGTGACCACTGAAGATAAAATAAATGCATAAACATTTAATACTGTCGAGACCGTAATTCACTCTTATTTACCTTTCTGTCTGCAATGTAGAGGGCCTCGGCAAGCTTGGCGAAATTCTCATTGATATGCACTGTCTGCAGACCCCGGCCATCGGCAGCCAGACGCTTGTCTAGAGGGATCGTGTAACCCTGAAAAAAAGTAAAAACAAAATAATTGAAAAGCTGTTAACTACATCCACTGGTTCCAAAACATGCAATAGGCATTCTAATGTTCTTATTCCTTTCTAACGATGGATGGCAACAGTACTGAAAACCAACCTTTGCGTTTTTCCAGTTTGAAATGCATGGTGGGATCTTCCACTCCTGTTGCTCCTTTACAGTCATCTGCAAGAGGTACAAAAAAATGGTTTAAATCAACACATAGTAGCACATTTCCTCAAGTTAGCGTCAGAGTGAGTTTAAGATTGTGAACCTGGAAATTCCCAGAAATCATATGCTTTCCATTTCTTTAAACAAAGAACCTGTGGACCGTGAAAAGTTTCACTCCTTCTGAAGATCAAATGTTCACAGATTAATTAAAAACAGTAAAGAGTAAAGTTAAACGTTGTCTGCTCAAGGTCACCATTTTTTAATTTCGGTTACCCATTATAATCTAATGTCCATGGTGAAACGGTAAAAGTTAATGTACCTTTCTGCTGGGAGAATGCATGACGGGAGCAGGTGGGGATGGAGGTCCGCGTGGAATCTTCTTGTTAATCCTAGGATATTAACATAGCCATAAAAGAATGTGAGCATTGTAAAATTTTTACCATGTCCGAGGCATTTACAATGACCTTCCTGCAACAGTATCACTGCGTGCAAAGAGAAACATTCAACAGTGAAACGGCCAGATTCAGGAACACATACTTAAAGCGTGGTGGCTCCATGGGGTCCTTCTGCATTTCCACCATGCGGATGACACGCTGCTTGGCTCCAGAATTGAATGCAACTCCTTGCTGAGATGGAGTGTACCTAAAAAGCAGAGTGTATTGATCAACTGACTACTGGTTAACAATTAAACACATGATGAAGATCTAAGGTTCCACTGAAATGCCTTAATGTGTTAAATTAAAGTGCTTAATAAAAGAAAGGAAAGTTTGTTTCCCAAAACATGTAATGCCCTTTGAAAGACTTTCATTAATCAGCATTTTTAAAGGCAGCACAAATCTGCAAAGCCCTTGTTCTTCATACAGACTTAAAAGTAGCTTACAGCAGGGGTTCCCAGGCCTTGTCCCAGAAAGCCATAAACACGCTGGTTTTGTTCCAGCTGAGCTGAGTTTGATTTCAAATTGATATTAGGTCAATTAAGGGATCAATTATGTAACAGAGACCAGGAAGTACCAGTGACTCCTCTCACCTGATGTACTGTGCAGGGGCTTGCTTATCGGCTGCCCGCACAGGCATGGCTGCCGCGATCTTCTGCGATACCTGCTTGTCCAAGGCAGACCTGGTCTTCTCTGTCAGCTGCATCAAAACAATTGTTTTCCCTTCAGTTTGAAGACACTATTTCAAAATGGGCTCCAAGGTAAAATGTGGATGGACTGATAAGTGGTAATATTCATATCAAAGTCCAAAGCCTCAGGTCCAGGGAATAAAAGCTGTCTTTATTGAGAACATGTTAATTTATCACTGACCATGAAACAAAAGCAAGCGGGAAGAATTAGGAGTCAGCAATCAAAGTGCTTCTTCTTCCCAGCGCAGTTTAATCTGGACAAAATACGCACCTCTCTAACCGCTTCTTCATCAGGCCTCTGCAGGTCTGGGTCATCTTCATTCATAACTTCCTTAGGAAGCAAATCCGTGAACTTGCTGTATATCACCTAAAAGCAATTAAAAACAAGAACATTCTGGTTGCCAATGCTGCACATTTAAGAAGAACATGCTTAAAACATCATTTGCGTTAATCTACCAATGTAAACAAGGCATCTCTGGCAAGCAGATGAGTAGTTGCATCACTCTACGTTATAAAGAATACATTTAGGGTATAACGACTGAATTTGCAATCGTTTTTCTTGCTTAACAGTTCCTTTAGGACTTTAAAAACAGAAGTTAACCAAAACCGGCGAGTTTATCTCCCTGTGCAGCCAGGATGTTTGTGATGCTGCGACATTTGAAAACACGGTACCATACCTTATCCTTGCCCTGCCCTTGCCTTGCAATGGCATCATATTTGACCTTTCCCTCCGCATCCACCTGCAGCGCCAGAGCATTCGAGGTCTTCTTCTTCCTGCCCATTTCCAGTGGGTACTGGGCCACATGGATCTCAGGGAAAGCACCGCCATCTCCAAAATCCTGGGAATGAGTTCAAAAACAGTATGTGTATTAGTGGGTCTGTGTTAGTCCCCTGAAGCTACTGATGAGGTCACCTTGGAAAGTTTGGAAATCAATACTCACCTGCTGATCCACACAGTGGATAAGATATTAAATCTAGGTCTGACAATTTGGTTATTAAAAAGTGGTGTTAACACTGTGTCTCAGATAAGCCATCTCTCAGCATGCCACTTGCTGATGTGCTGTGCAATGGGGCGGAAAGCAATAGATACGTATAAGGAATAATGTACAGTATTGTAGGGAAAGTCTCAATACCCAGGGCAGCATGGGACTTTTAACATCATATCATGCTTAAAGGGTTTTCCGTCAATTCAGAGGAAAAAAACACAAAAGAAATAGTTTGGAAACAAATGCGAGTTATAATTGTATTCAATGCCCGGTTTCAGTATTGTACTTTTAGTCTTAAAAAAAGAAAATAGCAAGCACGCTCAACACTAGTACTCAAAATTGTGAGACAAGCTCTGTGGATTTCTTCGGAAGCCACAATGAAACATTAACCACGAGACACAAGCAGAAACGGCAGGGGAGTGCATTTAAAACTGAGAAGGAGAAGCATGTCTTTACTCAATGAGTGGTGGGAGTGTGAAACAAGCCACTCGCTATATGTTGATATCCATACCCTGGCAGGGAGACACTCGGACCAACTAGCACATACCTACTGGACCGGCTGAACGGCAAGCTCATGAATCACACAGGTTAAGCAGATGCAGACATTTAGCAAGGCAGGCAGCCCGAGTAGCTGCAGCAGAATTACCTCCAGCGTCCTGGGAATCCAGCCTTTCCGGTAGCCGTACGGCGGCGGCTCTCTGCGGGAGGACACCAGCGCGGTGGACGGGGGCCTCTGAGAGCGGTGCCCATCCTCCGCCTCCAGCTGGTCCTGGGTCAGCTGTGTCGGGGCCGGTAAAAAGCTGCAACCCAAAACGCATTCCCCGATCAGCGCTCCCACTAACAACCCGTGCACCAAGCAAAAAAACAAACAGGGGCTTGAGGTGTTTTAAAGATGAACTGAGAGTAACTGTAATCTCCACAAACTGCGGTTACACACTACAGGACAAAGGATAAAGCGTCCCATTGTGAGACTTTTTATTACAGACGACCACTTCACAACAAGTGGGCGGAGCAATGATTCTGTGGCTCGGGATCTGCGCCTGTGGCTGGAAGGTTGCTGGTTCAAATCCTGCGGCCGGCAGAGGACTCCTACTCCGTTGGGCCCCTGATTAAGGCCCTTAACCCCAGCTGCTCCAGGGTCTGACCCTGCGCTCTGACCCCCAGCTTCTCTCCCTGTCTGTGTGTCTCATGGAGAGCAAGCTGGGGTGTGCGAGAAGACAAATACCTAATGCAAGAAACTGTATTTGGCCAATAAAGTGATCTCATCTCTCCTCAGCACGGAACACTGCTGACCCCTCACTTCAAACTCACACCATACAGCTGTAAACCGATCCGGCTCAAGAAACCGAGGCGCAGCCAGACAGCGAGAGCCGGCAGTTCAAACAGCTAAACACCGTGGAGTCAGCCAATGATAGGGATTCCTACATATAATCACATACGTTGAGAATAACATTCGAAAAGGTACTGAATAAACCTCTCTCTCCCGGAGGCCAGGAGATAAATAAGGCCCGCAGGACGGGCCCGGAACTGCGCAGAGCGACCCGAGCGGGAACGGAGGCATAAATCACTTTATGGCTTTCGCATATTACCAGAAAGGAATTGCAAACAAACGTGTTAGTATTCTTGATCGCGAGATACTGTCGTACACACAATAATCGCCATTTAGTCCCAAAACAAGCTCTGTCGTACACAGCTCACCTCGCCAGCGACATCTTGTTTCCCCGGAATGTGGCGTCTGACGTCACCACGCGCTTCCTTGCGTCACGTCGCAGGCTTAACCTCCGGCAGTTGTACAGTTTCCACTAATTACACAACCTTGTGATTCAGTAGCGGACAAGACGCGCTTGCAAATACGCGTAGAATGCCTGTCATATTTAACATTACTGAAAATAAATCAGTCCCGTTGGTGAATATCGATTCAGAGTAATCTTTTGAATAAAAAAATAAAACGAGACTGCCCCGATCATCAACTACATTGTCCAGGGTGCCTTGCGCAGAGCAGGTCGAGAATAATTGAGGTCGGGAGTTGAGAGGTCGTCTGGACCGGTAAGTGAATGGGAATTTACTTGCACAAATGTGCATAATAAACGTAAGCAAGTGTTGTATGTGTGCACTTTGTGCGTATTTCATAACAAGACAAAATGATTTGCTTTTTGGTGCATTTATTTTGTAGCGTCTTTTGTATTTGTACATATCGTTAGTGTTACAAAACCTTCAACTTACATAATGTCAATGGCATGGCACTGCACTGTACTGCTCATGAAATGCAGTACAACTCCGATACCTTTCTTAAACATCCTTAATGAAAAGCCTTGTTGCTGCTGTAATGTTACAGGTTGTTTCTGAACGTTTAGTTCATGTATGATGTCGTGTGTCTTCACCACTGGCGACATGAACTGCCATCCACACAGTGTGACTGTAGCCATCAGTACTGAAAGCAACACACAAATGACAACAATGGGAAAACGATTCGTGATATACGAAGACCAATTACCATAATTAAATATGATGATGGTCAGTATTATATGTTTAGCGACTTAGTAAAGTGCTGCGCTCACTGCTGAATAGTATTACTTGCAGGAGGTTCTCTGAAATGCCTTTCTGATTCGTAACGTTAAACTCAAGGCAAGGTCCCTTTCTCTGAAACTCTACATGTATTGTAACCTTTTTCTGTTGTGTATTATGTTGGTCAGTAAGAGTATTTCCAATGTTAGTGTTCAGAATTTGTGTTATAATGCCATAAATGTTACTGCTTGCTCATGCATGGGCAGAGACGGGTGCTGTTCCCATACAACAATACAACACCCTGATGCAGAGACACAATCTTTGCTAATTCTCCCTCCAACTGCTCAAGCATGTGAAAGCAGTGCTCAGGGACCCTCTACTTCCTTCCTTCATCATCCTACACGGGAAGTATGCTCTGCAGGCAGGTAAAAGACAGTGCACCTTTGATAGGACGTGAACTCTTTAACAAATAAGAAACATGCATAAGATGAAAAAACACCACAAAAGCTATGGTCGAATTTCTTTGACTGATTATAATTTTTTTATTTTATCTTAATATTACTGAATATGCTGATAAAGAGTGGAAGATCATAGCAAAAAAAGAGAAAATGAAGTACGTAGAGCAGCACACAGTCCTTGCAGCTGCGTGTCAGAGGCTGTCTGCAGAGACGGGGAGTGGTATATCACTGAAATATTGCACGAGGTAATGCGGGCTGATTGCAGGCCTGAACTGGATGCAGCCAAGCCTGTTTCAGTACAGTATGATAAATGAAGAATGAGCCAGGGCTGCAGAGCGCTTTTTTCAGATGTAAAGGCCACTCATCTTTAGTGGCTTTTGAGGAATGGCCCTGCAGGCTCATGACAAAGCAGACCAAGGTGTTACAGCCCTCAGTACCGACACACTCCCACCTGTCCTGTTGCCTTACTCATTGCAACACCCTCATCCATGCATCATCATGCTTAAATGTGTTTTAACCCGTGGAGTAATACTACTTTTTAATATACAATGGGTCTTGACAGAAGCAGCTTCTGGGAGTAAGATTGTTCAGGGTGAAGTAACTGCCGGTAAATGAAGCAGCTGATTGTGTCAGAAATGTGTATGTTCATCATCGCAGCCCCGTTTGTACTGGAGCTTCGCAGCTGGCGTGGGCAGTGCTGTGGGAGAACAGAGCGTGTGCTTCCTCCTCTCCACATTGCAGTGCCCTCATGGCTGGACGGCTGCTGAAGGTCTCCTCGCTGGCCACGGCCCTGTTGGCCTCTTCGGGGTTCTGCTGGTATCACAGGCCTGTGGATCTCAATGACATCAGCTTCATCCGGTTCGGAAGAGCTGCGGTCACGGTAGGTTCCTGTCGACTTTCATCTATTGCACCAAAAATAGCAAGGTGGGCCAGGCGGCTTCTTCTTCCTCGTGTTTGTAACCTGTGGTGCGTCCTTGATACATAAGAAACAAATATGAAGAAGAGGAGGCTAAATTACTATGGCCCATCTATGGCCCAGCATCTATGCTATTGGCCCATCTGAACTTCAGTAATGAAGATGGTGTGTGTTTATTCACGTGGGATCTGTCATTCCCAGCATAAGTGCCGTACCTTGCAAGTCTGGACCAAATAACACCCAGCTGCGAGTTAACAGATGAGCTGCCCTTTGCTACTTTATGAGAAACATTTGGCAAAGCAACTCCACTGTTTTTTTTATCACCAAAACTCTTTGGGAAACTGTTGGTAGGGTAGTGCTGAATGCTAACCTTTGTAGAGGAGGACACCCAGCCTGTGGGAGCTGTTATGATTTAATTTAGCTCATGTGTGCTGGATTAAATACAATTGATAGTAGTAGCTGTGCCATGAGAGGGTTTCTAGATTGAAGACAGGTGGCTTGTTTAGAAATAACACAGCTCAGACATTTGCCAGTTGTCCAGGAGTGGATATGTACATTGAAAATGGCCAATAAGCCTGTGATTACTTAAGTGGCTTGTGGACAGTCCCAGAGAGTTCCCACTGTTCTGTTCCTCCTTGAAGAAAGAGAGCGTCTGGGACTCGGAGGGCAGGAGATGGAGGAAAAGGCAGACCACCCACAGTCAGCACAGAGCAGCCGATAGAGGGCAGCTGGGCTCAGGTTGTCAAAGGACGTACAGCCCATCCTGACACTCCCACCCAACAACTCGTCATCACCAGACACTCTGGCAGTGGACTTGGAAGTACAGGGTCAAGATTGGACACCTCTGAGTAGCAGAAAACATGATCACAGATACTGGAGTCCACTGCACAGCTGTTATAAAGCCTTCAGTCTGTGACAGAGCCACCAGAAATGCATAGAATATGGCAGTGGTGGCTGTTGGAGGCGCTGTTATCAGACAAACTGCAAGTGAAACGAGACATGTGGATCCCGGGTCAGTAAGAGTGAGCCACAATGCCTGCCATTCTCCAGACTGCTGATGGGGCTGACTGGTGCCTAGCAAAGGCAGGAGAGGAGCCAGTTCTTGTTTGTCCATGTTGGGAGAAATGACACTGGCATGAACAGCACACTTCGCACACCAAACACATTCAGAGTTACTCAGAGAGAAACGCAGGCTCTAGTTAGGTTCAACCTTTCTAGCTTCTACATTTTCATGTGGAACTGTCGTAGGACAGTTTCCAATCTGCTTTTTCTTGTAAGGACAGTCGTCATGGAGGCTGGTATGCTAAGAAGAGACAGTAATGTGGGATTTACTATACAGTGCGTTAGGAGTGTAGTATAGTCTGAAGCTATTTCCTACTAAGAATTTGGTTATTGTTTTTTTTTTACATAAAGATAACCAAAAGGATGACTTGACATTAATTCCGCATGTGCTGCCTCTTTAACCTACTGTTCATTGTAGAAAGTGTTTATCCAATATCTACAGAAGCACTGTTAGGTTAATATCCCTGTACCTTTCCATTGTAGACCGCAGTTATCAGTTACGACTACTTCACATCTCTCCGAAGATTTGAATATGGGACTGAGGAATACAGCGCTGCCAAGTCAGAGGTAAGTAAGATTTCACAAGAGCTCTTACTGTGTGATATGCATTTTGTTCATTTTAATGACATTTTGTTGATAAAATTCAAAGATAACTTTTATTTAGGATAGAATTTTTGTAGAGAACCGATTTGAAATTTCAGATTTCATATCCTTCTTAGATCCAGCCATCACCCTGCAATTCATAACTGGCAGCCCACTGAAGCCCAGCAGGTGTGAGCCTGGTCAGTACCTGGATGGGAGACCTCCTGGGAAAAACTAAGGTTGCTGCTAGAAGAGGTGTTAGTGGGGCCAGCAGGGGGTGCTCACCCTGCAGTCTGTGTGGGTCCTAATGCCCCAGTTTAGTGACGGGGACACTATACTGTAAAAAGGCGCCGTCCTTCGGATGAGACGTAAAACCGACTCCTGACTCTCTGTGGTCATTAAAAATCCCATGGAGTTTCTTGAAAAAGAGTATGGGTGTAACCCCGGCGTCCTGGCCAAATTTCCCATTGGCCCATATTAATCGTGGCCTCCTAATAATCCCCCTCTATGAATTGGTTTCATCACTCTGGTCTCCTCCTCACTAATAGCTGATGTGTGGTGAGCATTCTGGTGCACTATGGCTGCCGCCGCATCATCCAGGTGGGGTTACACACTGGTGGTGGTGGAGGGGAGTCCCCATTACCTGTAAAGCGCTTTGAGTGGAGTGTCCAGAAAAGCACTATATAAGTGTAAGCAATTATTAATTAAAATTATTATTATTATTCTTAGGCGGAGGGTGGAGCACCGGGGTGCTCTGCTTGTAGTGTTGCAGTTACTTGGTCCGCTTGCCTTCTTAGAATCATAGTCATCCTATTAAAAAAAAAAAAACTCATTTTAATCCTCTTTTTTAAGGCTCAAAATCCCAGATCGGAGTACAGAACTAAACAGCTTTTAACGTTATTTGAGCACTTTACTCTTAATTTCTTGTTTGATTGGAAGAACTTGAAGCTTGCTGCATGTGCGCTAGATTTTAAGAGGTGTTTTTTTAAGGTAACAGTTATTTAAAAAGCACACCCATATCTTACTGATTTCAAATTTGAGATTTTTTGTTCTGATTGGAGATTGCGGTTTCATGAACACGCTGGTATTTTTCTCACCTGTGACGAGAGTGACTAAGTCTGAGACGTCAGCCCACTTTAGGCGGCTTAAGGGAACTGTATTAGTGGGGGAGCATCGTCAGTTTGGTTTATTTTTATAGTAGGTCTTCGTTTATAAGGCAACCGACCTGTCTTCTAACGTTTAATAAGAACAGTGTGTAATTTGGCGTCCGCTGGAAAACCGCAGTAAACGTCAGTCAGGCGGTGGGGCACCGCGTGGGCGAGACTCCGCGCAGGATCGCACGCAGTTATATTACTCCTGTCGCCGAATGGTTGGGGTTTTATTTCTTTTTTTCGTAAAATACGTTCAGGGTTAGGTTTCTAAACTAACTGATATATTTTTATTTTAAAAAATACATTATACAGTATTAACAAACAATATCTTATTTCTCATTAAACAAGTACTGTACTAAATGTGCTTTGCATTACACAAGCTGAAGTAATCTGCACTGTACTGCTAAACTGTACTTTAAACGTGTACAGTATGTAGTATGTTTTTAACTACTCAGTACCTTATATATTATTTTTATGCAATGAATATATTTAAATAACTCAACAACATATGCACCACTGACTGTCTAATTCATGTGATAGTTTGAAAGGCCTGCATTAGAAATTGTGAAGATTTCGATATGAAGCAGAAAAAGTTCATGGTTTGTGATGAAGACTCACACATATGATATATAAAGACTTGCAGCTAAATTGTTCTGTCTTAACTGAGGCTCACGTAGATGAGTAACTGTCCTACAGGGAAGAGATTCTAACTTGTTTTTAGTCTTAAAAAATGCCTTTACAGAGCATTTAGGCACTTGCCTGGTTTAGAATGGATAAATCCAATATCCTCTCTGACTCAATTCAGGGTCCAGGCGAATCATATGTTTGGCCTGGCATATCAAACCCATAAGAGAAAAGAAAACGGGGAATCGATTTTTACAAAATGCTGGAATTTGAAAAAGAAGACCCACGATGTACTGTAATAAAAATGGCCCATCACAATACTTCAACACCACAATTGCAGGTACAACAGCATTTTTATGAGTATTTTCATTTTTTAGTTAGAATAAGTGGAATTATTTTTTATTGGTATTGTTATATTTATTTTCTTGAGCTTCTACTTTTATTCAAATCGACTTGCAGCATATTTACACATTTACATCCATTATATACCCTGGCTGGTAATGTTACTGAAGCGATCTGAGTGAAGTAATGTCCTCAAGGGATTGGCACGCCTTCTGGTATATGACAATATGAAACCTGCAGTTATGAGTCTACTTTTGCTTCATCTCATGACCTGTTGTATGATGCAGTGAAATCCTCCTAAAGTTATTTAATGCTTATTCATTCTTGCAAGTGGTAAGTGGGATGGTGATAAACATTCTTATAAAGCACATTTCCAGAAGAAATATCTAAACCACTGCCCAATAACGGTTCAGGGGAAAAAATAAAAATCTTGAAAGAATTAGAAAAAAAAAACACCTGAATTTACATCATGCATCAAAAAAGGCGGTTTTAAAATGAGACCTGGAAACAGGCTCTCACGTTTCCTGACTGAGTTGCGAAGAGTGTTCTGCAGCCTGAGTGCACTGCTGAAATAAGAGGGGAGAGAAGGTGGGCCTGTAAAACAGCTTATTTAAGATGCAAGGTGTCTGTCCTTTTAGATGCAGTTGTGCTTTTGAAATAAATCCTGTTTCAGATTATGGCGGGTTGATTCTCGAACGCACTGCCATTTGAGATACAGTACCAGCTGACTGTCTGAAGAAGCCTTAGGCATGGTTCAATTACCTTCTCCATCGCTCGCCTCTCAGATACTCAGAGGTTTTACTGCAGTGCAGAACTCAGAAATGTTGGTCCTGGAGTGTGTGTGTGTGTGTGTGTGTGTGTGTGTGTGTGTGTGAGCTTCTCTAGGCAGCACACACATTGTGAAAACTGGAAAAAATAAATGCATGTATGAAATGAATAAGCAGAAAGGCCCAGGTAAGAAGTCTGTTTAGATAGCATGAATGCATTCCTCCAATAAAATAAATAAATAAAATAAATTAATTTAATCAGGGACTTCAGAACAGACCTGTCTGTGAATTTGTAGCTTGTGCTTTTCCCTTCCCCTCTTTGACTAATCCCTGAAATCTATTCTTATCTGCAATCTTTTGTTGTTTCTGTTTCCAAGATGTCTTCAGAGATATGGAAAGGACTGTCATTATTGTGGCGTGACTGTATTTCATGCTGTATCATTGAAGATTTATAGCAAGCTTGTGCTCTGGTAAACAGTGATATTTCAAAGAAAAACTCAATGCGTCAGATCAACCACGATTACAATATTGTGTTTCAAGCAAGTCAAAGTTTGACAAACCCCTTTTCCTACATGACATTAAGTCACATTTCAAACTAGTTACATTTGGTACCACCTAAGCTGCTTTTAGAGGGATAGAGCACAGTACCTGGTGGCAAAATTAAATGTTAAAGCTCTGTAATAACAGCCAAAGCTGTGAGGCAGAGAAGACAAATATGGCACTGTAAACATTTCCTGTTGCCATTTTGACTGCCTGACCTATTTAAAAATTGTTTCCTTTGCTCTCCCAGTCAGGTGATTTGTCCCGGTTGTTCAGAACTGTTTGCTCATGCCTTCAGGGATAGTCTGACCTTTACATTTCAGAAGGAAACTGGTATTTAACCTTAAATGGCTTTGCTTCCTACTGTAAAAATGGCATAGCCTTGGAGAGAAACACCTTTACAGATATGCATGCACACAGAAAAACACCTCGATTCTAATGGAAGGATGAAACCCATGTAGCATGCCCGCCACTTGGTAACGTTGTGTTTTACAAAGAAATAGAATAGCAAGTTATTTTCTGTTATGTGTGCAGTCAGTTTAAAATAGTGGCTTGTGACCTGTCTCAGCTCAAAGCAGTGCAGACAGACTCCTCCGACCCCCTCCTGTTCCTCGTTAGGACTGCCCTGATTCACTGACTGGATCTCCTGTTCCTCACTGGTATCACCTCCAGGCTGAGTAGACTCAGGAGTTGGGGGTTTTGCTCGGACCAAAGAAACCCCTGAATGACCACTCCCAGCCCTTCCCTCAACCCTCTGCCTTGGGTCACAGTTGGCTAGAGACGTGACCCCGAATAGAGTCTGTGAGTCTGGGTCAAAGAGCTCACCCTGCGCCGAGAGTGAGCGGCTCTCCTGCTTGAGCCTGCTGGGAGATCTTATGTATCTCAGGGCAGAGTCTATAATCACAGGCCAACCAGTGCTTCCACAGGGTTACTTTTCTGTATTTCTGCATTGCAGAGGCCAGTTTTCTCCTATTTTTTTTTAAATCCTTAGGAAGCTTTAAAATTGGCAAATTTAAGACAAGACAACATAAATGCAGAAAATAGTTTTTCTCTCTGATACTTGCATTTTTACGATTTTTATTTACATAATTAAGAGAGTGATGTAATAAATTTAAAAGGATACCTACTAGCACTCAGAAATCCGTAAAGGCTGAAGATCAAAATCATGTTTAGCACTTTAATACACGTTTTCAAGTTGATCACCTTTGCCCCCTCTTCTCATCCTATGATGTCAAGTCTGACACCTGTCCTTCGAGAGATGAGAGCTTCGATCGCTGCCGGGTGTGACCACTGTGTCCAGTCTCTTCATGTAGTTTTGATGTGTTAACCTCCACACCTGTTTCGACGGAGAGTGGACTACTTGTGAAACTTTGTTTTTATTTTTGAAAAACAGACTTTGTGTAGTATTAGCAGTATTTACCTAGAAAAAGGAGTATCTGGAATGATGTGTGAGAAAATACAGAACTGTAAATGAAACAAAATCCTTGAGAGATTGTGAGAGAAAAGGAAGAAGCAACGAAATTCAGTTCAGAAGTGTCACTTCATAATGGCTTTTGAAGACTGAACCACTTGGCTGCAGAACATTTTTATGTGATCTTTGTTTTTAAATGTAGGTGGATTTCCCTTAAGATCCTCAAAGTTCTTAATGTGTGATGGTGACATTCTCTGACAACCTGTAAACCTCCATATGTGCAGCTTGGAAGACAATTATTGCTCCATCCCTGTGATCAGTGTGTATCGGCCATTCTGTCTTCCTGAAACTTTTTCCCCCAAGAAAGGCATTTGATAGTCTCTCTGCCAGCCACTGCTCGTCTCTGAAAGATTTCACATTCACCTCTATCTGAATGAATAGTTTCCTGTTCCATAAGCTATTTAGGGGAGATAAACAGAAAGACCACTCACAAGCATGTAGTGTCCTGTTCTCCGCTCCTATCAGTTTAGTATTAAACAAGAAGTGAATGCCTTCTGAAAACTGCCACTGTGGAAGAGCTGAAGTTCAGCTGTGGGTTCAGAGCTGAACAATGTCACTGACGTGTGTCTGTTCCTCACAGAATAGAAACCATTCGGTACAGTATACCATTCTTGAGCTCCAGTCATCAGCTACTAGCTGTACTTTGTTAGGTGAAAGATTTATTTAAAAGAGCTTAAATTACAGCACAATATACACATTTCTGACTAACAAAGAGATTGTGGTGTATTCCAGGGTGTTCTTTCCCATTTCTAACTTTCATGGAGTTCTGCCACACACTTGTCTTCTCTAGCCATGCTGTCACCCTTTTGGCATTGGTAAACATGAATAATCAAATCAAAGCATGTACGCCCAATAATAATAATAATAATGATGATAATAATAATGAACAAGTAATAGGTTTATTCCATACTGAAAAGAGAAGAAAATAAACAACGTTTCTGCTGTGGAGCCTTCTTTGGGCTGTGCCGAAACGGTTTTCTTTCTTCTCTTTTCAGCATGGAGTAAACCTTGTTCCTTTGCAGCCTGCGCATGCTGATGCAGCTACCCACCTGAACTATAATAATAATAATAATTCATTCTAAATTATTTTTAGTGCTTCTTTTGCAGTTACAATGTTGGATTATATAGCTTTTTTTGAAAGCCACATGCTGAAAACATTTCTGAAAGTACAGTACCAGCGTGCTTGTTTAGTTTCAGTAGTTAAGCATAACCCTAAGACAAGCAAGAGCGATTATTGTGCTGTGCTATTTCTTTCCTTTCTGATATTTTTAAACAAAACAATACCTGGTAATGAATTTGATCTGGCAGTTTAAGACAAGACAAGGTTGATACTGCTATCTTTTAGAGAATTCTTAGTCTTAATTAGAATGCAGTTTAATCTTAGAATGATGTCTTTTCTGTGGAGGTGCACTGCATGTTGTCTTCACTCTGTGGTGGCTGTTTTTAATTTATGAATGAAGCCAATGACAGATACCATGATCTTCCAGAATCGGTTTCCCATGCAGCTTCAAGGCTGAAAATCTATTACTTCCCAGCTGGTTGCTGTCAGTTGTGCCTTTTTGCCCCCTTTAACCTCTGCCTGATGGCTTCTGATGGTGTATTGATCTGGCCTGCTGTTCTATGATGTGTTGAAAAAAATGCAGTGCTCACTGTTGCAGGATTGCTGTCCCAGCCTTGCAAAAACCACAGCTCAGCAGTTTACCAGGACACACAAGACAAGGGCCAGTCTCCCTTGTAAACAGGGCTCTGGAGAGCTGCAGGTGAGATGTCCTTCTGCCACGCAGCTTAGAGAAAATGGAACAGTTGTCCTACAGGTCTAGCAGCCTGCCATAAAGAAAGAAAACAGTGTTTGACATAGGTTAAAATCAAGCATTTTCAGTAAAGCTTTTGTTTTTCAATTTCTTGACATGCTGGTATTTGTTAATTTCTTGACATTCTGTATCTGTTTTCCCTTTCAGTATGTACAGTACTTGTAAATAATTTATGTAGAAAATAATTATTTGTCTCAAATAAAAAAAACAACTTCATATACATGGAGTGCTGTAAATAATTCACTTGAAGTATATGATGAAATAGATAAAGATGTGTTTATATATTTATGGATATACTGTATGCATATATCAAGAGACAGACACCCTATATCCCTGCTTATTGCTTACTAAGTTACTCTTTTCTAAATAGTGCAAATATAGTACAGACTCCTTCTACTATACGCTGGTAAAATCCCTGTATTTCCTCAATTACAGTGCACATGTTCATGCGCAGTTTGAAGTGTCAGGTGTGGCAGGATAGCCCATGAAGACTGTGGTGACTGGTGCTGGCTGCTGGGTTTGTGCAGTATGTTTGTAGAAGGAGCTCTCCTGGTTGATGGAGCTGTGTAGAGCCCTGAGAGGCACTAATGGGTTTGAGTGGAATGTGGAAGCTTGAACAGAAGCCTTTCACTCCAGTTCCAGTTCAATATACACCAGGGAGCTCAGATTCCTCCTGGAGACTGTCTGCATTGCGGCCTCTAGTGGCTGCCTTGCGGTCACTGCAGTCCCTCCATGCAGAGAAGACCAGCATCCAGAGCCTGGACATCACGAGAGGGTAGTGTGAATCAGATTTTGGAATGCCATGCCTCAGAGGTGTTTTCGTAGTGGGCCAGGTTAATCAGAAAAGTAGAACAACGAACACTGCTGTCTCATAAATCAAAGCCGCGATGGTGATCTGGCCTGTGGATTGGAGGTAGACAGCCTGTCTCCTAATAAGGCAGTCCCCTGACTGCTGCTTTGGCTCCCGATAGTTAAACAGAGCAAGCTGTTCTGTTTAAACCATTCATGTGGCCCGGAAAGTCGACTCGTCAGCTTGATTATGGTGCTGGGACGCATGTGGCTCTTCTGACAGAAACATCGGCTGCTAACTGCGCGTCAGCTTGCTGCGTTATTTATTGCTGTGAGAGGAGCGAGCCGCCAGATGTTTAACACACCTACCGGGGTGTACCCAGACTCTCCTGGATGTAATGTGTTTTCATCAGCACACAGGATGTGGCAAAACACATCACTTCCACCCTGCCGCTTGGCTGAGGTCGTTGCCATCCATCCTCCGCCGGCTTGACTCGGGGAGAGGTCAATGCCCGTGATGGCATACAGGAGCACAGGAGCACAGTGCTCCTCGTTCTCTTTCGCACTTCGGTGCTTGAGCAGCTCACCTTGGACGTGCTCTTTGAGTCGTGCGGGGATGTGTTTTCTGTTTTGGAATACACAGTAGGCAGTAATAAGAAAATTAACTATGAATGTCGTCAAGCTGTCAAAAAGGCAAAAAGTGCGCAGTGCTTCTTGTGTCAGTTGTGTATGAAATTCTGAGCAAAGAAAGTGATTTGAATAAGATCATTCTGTTTTAATACCATAAAACTTCTAGCATAGAGTTGTTTGAATGCAACATTCTTCAGTTTTGAAATCTTCTGTTTTTTGGTTCAAATTAAAAATAAAAATCTTTTTTATAAGCACGTACAGTTTTGCGTGGAGCGCCAAGCATTTGCACAATCTGCCTGACCAGGAGAGGTTCTTCTGTTTCACACTCAGCTGTTACTCCGAGCCGTGGGGATGAGGCAAAGCCAGGTAGCTCTCGAGCAGTGAGCAGAAGATTGAGCCAAATGTTATCTTGGCCCTCTGCATCTGAGTGTCTCCAGTTCAAGGTCTTAACATGCTCATGTGTTTCAAAATCCCCTTCTCTGGAGTTCAAATCACAGTATCCTAAGTGTTCCCTAATATTAATTAATCTTTTTACACTCTTTGTGTTCTCTCAACTGATCATAAGAGTTACTTAGGTTCTAAAAAAACCCAGACCCTGAGTAACCCCTCATTTAAGTGTATTTTATTTTAGATATGGCAGATTGTCAAATTCCTGTGGGGAATGCAGTTATTAATGTGACAAAGGATAAAAGGATATGCCAGATCCATCATGTCAGTATGGCCTGGGAAAAAAGAAACAGGAAAAGAAATATAAATTCAATACAGGGAATAATGTTAGAATGCTGATCTTCTTTGTATGACATTTAGCAGCAGGGGCTTTTCATTCTGTAAATGAAGCATTTGTAAAACAGCTACAACAAAACAACTGCATCTCCTTGTAGGTAAAGCTGATTTGCTAGAATGAGAGATCCGTTGAAAGGGATTGTCAGTCTGCAGAAAGGCCATATGGCAGCTGTCACATGCATTGATCTTGTATTTGTGGTGGGGTCTCACTGGCCTTTATTGGAAGCCCTGGCTGAATGTAATTAATTTGTTGTACCATAACATGGAAAGCACCAGAGATTATTGTAGTGGAATTAGCGTTCTTTCATTATGGTAAACATGGAACACTGATGGAAGTGGCCGCAAATCATTGGAAGACTGCCCATCAGTGAGCCAGAACCCTATCCTTTAGATAAGCGGCCTAACTAAATAATGAAGGAACAATCACCACATTAAACAATGTGAGAAATTCTTGTTTACAGTTTATCCAAGCAATGGCTGTGTCAGGAACAGGATGCCCAGCTGTAGTCTTGAAAGAGGCGCCCTCTAACCTTTCACGGAAAGCTGGATGAGACCTTTGGGTCAATAAGACACAAGCAGCTAAGTGATGGAGATGTACTGCAAGGCCTCCACTCTTCTGTAACCTTTCTCGTGTTCTCATGAAGAGCAGCATGGGTATTGGAGGAGTGTAGTGGGCATGGAAACCTTATTTTCTGCTTGAGTCAGTTCTGTATTGTTCTGCAGGCCCCTCTGCTTTTATGACAGATTTCCTTTTGTCGTATTGTAGCACTTACGTGCTGAGGTTCAGAAGAATGAGGTGATGCGATTGTTTGCTCAAGCTTTTTAAAAGCACACAGGCTCGGTACCAGCTCTGCCTTGCAGCAGTTTGCATCAGTCAGGAATTGCTCCCTCCAGACTCCATTAGACAGTACGACAAATAACATAATAATAATCCACTATTTAACCATATGGGTCACTTGAGAACAAATTCTCATTTACAGTAGTGTCCCTGCCAAGAGGTCGCCACCAATGTTGTATGGAAGACAAAGCAGTGAAAGAGAGAGCAGGACAATCAATAAAAAGGAAATAACAGGACAGGACATCACATGAGGTGGCAGAGTTAACAATTGCAAGTGTCAGGCAGAAAAGATTAAATCACACAACTGAAAGCACGCTGAGATACAAAGGTGGACAGTTTCAGCTCACTGTGCCGACTGGTGCAGTGTTTGGCAGTGGCACATGGAAAAGACAAGAGATCCAAACAGGTAGCTGTTCCTGGCAAGTTCAGCTTGCTAAAAGCACTACATCTTTAATTGCAGGATGGCATAGAAACTTCAATTAATAAGATAGGAAGCTATTTTCTCTAATAAAGATCTGTATATTAATTTAAACCAGTGATGCATTTGTCTCGTAAGCAGAGTGGACCAATTAATCAAAGAATAAAGCTCATGCAGTGATGTGTGTGATGGGGGCACCGGTAATTCATTTGTGTCGTTTCCTGTATTAGTACTTACCAGTCACTGCAAAAATCAGACTGAACCGAAAGCTTGATTGCAAAACAAAATCCTTAATATTATCTGGAGACTCTTGAGATACAGCTTGAATAGCAGGTGCAGAAAGAATGGAAAACAGCTATCTTTCTTCTTTGCTTTGCATATTAGTCAATTTCTAAGGTTTGCTTGGGATATATCCTGCAACAGTCCAATATTGTATACCTTTTGTACTCTGTGGATTGTGCTGCAATTAGGGAAGATGCAGCATAAAGGATTTTTAAAATCTAATCGGTTTAGACCTTCCAAATATGATTAACCTCATTCACAAATAATTAACCTTATTTTCCTTGCTCTTAAGAAACATCTTAAGAGGCTGTGTAACAGAAGTTCAGTCTGAAGGCCACTGCACTTGTTCTTTTTTAAGTCATGCTTTGAATTTTTATGCTCCTTAACTGTATGTATATGTTATTTTTTATTTTTTATTTTATTTGGGATGGCTTGGCAGCAGCTGCTGCTGTCAAGATGGCACTAGTGATGGCTTTATAAGGAATGACAGCACTTGGATGTCCTGCCTATTCAATCACTAGTTCATATAACAAGTAGGATCTGCACATCCTGGCTTAATTCCTTACAGTCTCAGTTAGCTACGTGAGTCACATAGGACCACACAAAACATTTCCACAGCAGATTAAGCTTCAGACATTTCAAGTTCCACTTGACTTGACTCCAAGTCGCTGAAATATGCTCCTAATATTCCCTGGTGAAGAATCCTGTGCTCTGAAATAGTCACAACAGAGGGGTGAAGGGGCAAAATCCTGTTGGCTGAGCCTCAGTGGTGCTGCTACGGTATGCAGGTCCAGGAGTTCATGTAGAAAAAAGGAGAAAAAACAACACTTTGTCTTAAAGTGGATGAGATGATAAATGTCTCTCTGTATTGGGCTTTAAAAATGTTTTAGTTGTATAAAAATTATTACCAGTATAAATAAACCAGAGAATTCTCTTTTTCGTACTGTGAGAAATTGTAAATAGGTCTTCTGTCTCTTACTGACTGTATCTACGAGTGTTTCTGAGGAATATCAGTTGAAGGTAACAAGGTTGGAAATTGACTCTGTGGTTTTTTGCTTCAGGAGGTGAAGTGGCACTTGATCACGCAGACCTAGGAGGGCAGTGTGAAACAGCCTGGGCCCGGGCCACTCACTCTCGAGCACTGCGAGAGCTGAGGCCGGCGCTGCCTGCAGTCGTCTGCAGGGAGAAAGCAGCTTGCATCCCTGCACGGTTGTAAGGTTTTTCCTGATGCGTTGCTATTTCTGGGGATGTTTTATTTTATATTAACTGAGCTGCGAAGCCTCCGTTCTGGAGATCGTCATTGACGCCTGACCGTGCTTGTTTCTAACAGTCCCACTTACAGATAGAAAAGGAGCTGTCCCAGTTTGGAACGTGGGTGATGCCATCATGATTTCACCTGTAAACCACACTCCCAGTAAACTGCATAAGTGAAAGAAAGCACAGCGTTCAATCCTGAACCCTCAGGGTGTGTCACACTCGCTCTGGGGGTTTCAGGGGTGCCTCCCCTATGGGTGGGCATTGCTGGTGCACGGGGAAGCAGGAGCAGCTGGCTGGTGCAGAATGAGTCCTCTGGTTACCAGCAGGTGTTGCTGCTAGACCAGTGAGTCCCCACTCCTTGGTAACGAAGCACTGCAATTCTGATATTAGTCATATCACTGCACCTTGAAACCATGCGAAAGAGGCAGAGTTTACTGAAGCATCCAGAGCCCAGCGGCGCCACTCTCCTGGAGACTTCCCAATTGGGAACTGGAAAATTGTGAACTTGTCTGCATTAGAATAGAATTAGTTCATTGAAGTCATTTGCATACCAAGTTAAATAATAAAAGCTAGAAGATGCTCTAGTCCCTTTATATCAGAAATTTGCTCCTTACCGTCAATGCTTTTTCCTTTGAAAGTATTCCTTCTGTTATTCATGAAGTACGTACTGCACTTCTATACTGTAAATACATTATTTACTGTAAATATTTATTTCATTCATCACAGTTGCAGAGGTTATTTCCATCTTTTACCTGTGCAGAATTATATTTTTTGTAAACTTTCTTGTCATAGTTCTCCCCCTTCTTGTTGGCAAAGCCAGATGAAGAGTGAGGTCAGAAGAGCACACCCTTGACATATTGTTCTAATGAGAAGAGATTGGGGATAGTTGCTACGTAGAAAAACACTTGGGTTTGGTGAAGGATGACAGGTTTCATTCTGTATGAAATCTCAAGAGGCTTGAAACCTAAGATAAAAAGAGAGGACTGGAAAGTTTTCCTTTCCCCTTGTTCTGGTGCTCTCTTCCTAATCTGACCTGCTGCTTCCTTGTCTAAATGATAAATTTCTCATCAACACAGTTTACAGCTTGGAGGCAGTCAAAGATCTCAGCTTGTGGGAAGAAAAAAACAAATTGGACAGCTTCTTCCTGGGCAGAGAATTGAGTTCAGTCCAGTTTTTTATAGAGAGGTACTGCTACATTTTGAAGTAAAAAGAATATTTTCACGCGAGATATACAATAAGCACTGGCAGCCTGCATCAGAAGCACTGATAAATTAAGTTTGAGAAATGCTTTTGCTTGAATGACTTTTTGGTCCATGAAACCTCCTTAAGGATTATGATCATTAATATTGGTAGTGAGTTATTGAATTTTCCAGAGTGTACAGTACATGCATATTCCTGCAGTTCTGTAGAGATTCATAAACACACTGTGCTTTAAATTAAGGTACTGTACTAAATGGAAGTCTTCCTCAACTGTTATAGTTTTATTTTCTCTGTGTTGGAGTACATTAGCATCTAGTGCAGAAATCCCAAAGCAAATCTCTTAGCGAAAAAGCACTTTGGAGCTGTTGGCACCGCCACACTTTCTTCCTGGCCAGGCCAGTGAAGGGTGGCCTAGGAAGAGCATTTGGGTTCATGTTGCAAGATTCAAAGGAAGACATTTATCTCTGACTGGAACAGAAATATCTCGGGAATTCTGTTTTTACAAAAAAATAAAAGCCTATCAAAGTCTCACACAAAAGACAACACTACATTGAGAAAGTCTTATCATGCCAGCAGCCATATCACCCTGCAGCTGACAACTGATAATCCACTGAAGCTCAGCAGTGTGAGTCTGGTCAGTACCT